GGTCTATAAAATTACAGGAATAGAAAGCTTCGAATGAAATTTACTATTATAGATAAAATGTGCTCTCAACATAACGAACACACTTCTAGAGCATATAAACCTCATTCTGGAATATTTTCAGAAATGGAAAATAAAAATCAATAATGAAAAAACTAAGGCTCTGTTTATAACGCGTAAGTGGAGACAGAATCCGTCGATAGTGAGAGTGGGTGATATGGTGATAAACTGGGAGAATAGCGGGAAGCTTAAACATATTCAACTGAAAAGAATTAGCTGTGCAAAATTCTTCATTACCTCGAACAGCTATTTAGAAATGTGAATATCAATATAGTACTAATATTATATATACCTTTCTATTCAATATACTACGACTTGAAGGCTTGATGTGGAAATATCAATTAATAATTTTATATATACCTCCCTTTTGTATATAATATCAACTTCAATATAAGGTATTGCTTTTGAAATAGCAATAACTTCTGTCTGAAACACATTTTATTCAACGGTTAGCCTGTAATATTTGGCTATATCTAGAGTTTTTTTAAATAAACTCCACTACTCAACATTACCTACTCCATTGCTTACTTTACTGTCGTCAGTATATACCATATTGATCAAACTCTTTCTAAAGAGGTGGCTCCTGACATCCAAGTGTTTCGTGATGTCATAACGAAAGTATAGACTATAAATAGCTACTAAGGCCTAATAATTGCAGCGTTGTAGCTGATCAGTCTGTTGTTTTTAGGGGACAGTGCCCAGTCGTAATACACGGTCGAAAATTTTCGTTCAAATTTAAAACTCAGAGGGTTTTTATATTTATCCAAACTTAAATGAGTTTATAATTTAAACCGTTCAGTTTAAAAAGAAGTACATAACACTGATTATGTACATCTTCTAAACCCTGAGGTTGATTTTCAAAACTGATAGGTTTATTTTTAAAACTTATTCGGTTTAAATTTTAAACCGAAAGTCTAAAATTCGACACACTCTTAAGCTCTAAGGTTTAAAATTAAAACATATCGGTTTTTATTTTTAAACTCAAAAGTTTATACTAAAAACTTCAGAGTATAAACTTTAAACCCTTTACACTTAATTTTAAACTGAAGGTTTATTCTTATATTAACCCTTTAAATGAAATAGGAGCAATAAAATATATTTTGTTTAAAAAAATATTTTATTTATTCAATTTATAAAATTATATTTCATTTATAAAAAATAATGGAAGTGGGTAAGACCAGTCTTCAAGCAGTCTTGTATCCCTTTTGATGCGAAGACTGTTAGCACTTTTTTTTCAACTTCTTGCCAAGCTTTTGTACGCTGAGTGGTGGTTTGTGGAAACTGAATACAGAAATCAAGTAAAATCTGAAAGTGAGTTCATATAAGAATTTCATTTCATATTTTCAAATTTACTTTACTAACCAGTTCGGGATCCAAAAAGTAGAATGGAAATATATTTCTTATATTGACTTTTTGCTCTAATAACTTCTTTCTATGCTGTGTGCTGCTGCTTCTAACACACAGTTCTTCTGAATCTTATATTTCATACTTCTTTCTTTTGAAGCTACGATTTTTAAGTTGACTCTGAAGGTAACCTTCAGTAATATATAGTAAAATATATTTTCTTTA